CCATTTTCAAGATCTATTGAATTTTTGCCCACTTTTCTACATTTTTGAATTCCTGAATCTGTTACGACGTTTCTGAATTGAAAAGTTTATAATTGAATTTTATGAACTAATTTCTTTGGGTTAAATTTCAAAAATATGCGCTTCTTTTTTTCTTTGTTTTAATCTCAAATATCGCATCCATATCCAATAAGCTAACAGCGATAGAATTAAGGCATGATCTGCCTATAGCAGCTGGAAACTAGAATACGATCGTTATAGAGCAGGTTATCAAGAGTGACATCTGTAAAAAGCTTGTTTGCTGCGTTGAAAACACTTATAAGCGTTTTTTAGATTAGAGACCTGATCTTTTGAACAGAAGTAATCTCTATATAGGAGTATGACAATCAAATTGTTGAATAAAGATTTAGTATAGATTATATTATGGTAATGTGATATATGCCTTTAGAAAACTACTAAAACTATTGAAGTATGATGAACTATTTTATATTCTGACGTTCTAAACTTAGGATGAAGCCACATTCTCAAGTCGTGTTAAAGCCACAGAAGAGTCGCATAGAAATCATGTGAGTCAACTATAAGTTACATAGAATCACAAAAATTCTAAGTCCGTTTTTGCCATTGATTCAAGCTTTTGATACAATCGGATTTACTCATTTCGATTGACCAAACTGTTTAACCTGGTCATGTTGAGATTTGTCACGATAAAATATCCAACCAGCTCTATTTCTTCGGTTGAACGAAACTTGTTCTGACACTATTATGAGTTGGAGATAGTGATTGATAAAACGTTACATAGAATTTTATTATCAATAACAAGAAAAACCTGATATGTCTTTAGATGAGTATTTATTTTAATCAACAAGAGAAGGATTGATGATGGTGGATCTTTTCTCTCTTATATTTCTCGACCGAATTCGATATATTTATCTGGTATGCACAGTGCAGGTTCCAAAACAGACAAATGGATGGTTTCTAAAGTACCTGTTCGAAAATCTGAATATACTTTTCTGTTTTAGCTCATTATTGAGTCAGATCTACTAAAATCGGCAAACGAAGATGTAAAGACAGCATGAAAAATCACTATCATTTAGCAACATTATCTTCTAATTATAAATAATAATAGCTCTTCAAATAATTTTCTTATGTACGGGCAGATATTTCCTAGTTGACGTGCCATTGCGAAGCGATTAAAGCTCTTGAAATGTTTTAATCTCAGATTCTCTGGTATGAAGGAAATTCTACCGATTTAGAACTCATTTTACAGCGTACTGGAAAACTCATGATGATGTATCACATTGTCTATTGAGTTCACTGTGGTTTCTGACCTTTAGTGACCTTGAAAAACTGCTAATTTAGTTTATCGATATGGAAATTAAGGTTAGACAACATCACTAGTGGCCAAAGTTAATCATAATAATTTTGTATTTTTCGGGATTTTCTGGGATTTTTTGGGATTTTAAATCCCAAAAAATCCGCTTTTTCCCCCTTGGGGAAAAATCGAAATTGAAAAAAGTGAATTTTTGAAGATGGGAAAAGGTGTGCTTTTAAATAAATATATATTTTTTTGATTTAGACTTATCTCAATGAAATTTTCCAGAGTAAATATTTTATTTAAATAAAAAATTTTGTTTCTTGTGTTTACGGATGGTGAGGAAGGAAGAAAAAAAAATCATATTCCTCTTCACTGAGTAGAGGCTTATGAGAATACAATGATGAACGACGTCGTATATCACCGTTAACGACTGTCGCAATGCTCATCCTGAGGCAGTAGATAAATAGTGTCGTAAACGAGAAAAAAATCGGTATAAACAAGACACTACGATGAGAACGTTACCCTGATACTACTCATCGTTATTCACTGGAAACACCTGAAATGGTGTCGTTTACGTTCTGAGAAAAAACGGCGACCGTTTTTCATCGTTTAGGGCAATAGTTACGCCGTTTCTTCACCGTTTCAGGCAGTTTCAAATAGTCAGAATGATCGACCTGGATGTATTTTATTGTGGAAGTAGTTTGACCAGGAAAGAAGGAATTTAATAGCGGACCAATGCCAAATTACACGATTGAAACGAGAAAAAAAATACCGATGCCTAGAGAAGATACACAGAACGAGAAGAGGAAAAAACCTGATGCATGCTTTTCTCTCCTTATTTCTCCACAATAAGAAGCTACGAAAAGACTCACCTATAAACACTGCAATGAAGTTAAACATTTTTCGATAGCTTCATCAGAAGTATTGACAATATCGAGCAGTTATTGTAGTGAACTAAATGAGACTGCAAATTCACATTATGCATGTTATTGGTTAGATTCCTGTCGTGATCTTTATGAATTAAACTAATGTTCACATTGACGCAATGAACCACGTAGTAAATTGGGTATTTATTATTCACCACATGGTATTTATAAACGCTTTGCTTATGATCGAAAAAGTGGTGCCAGTCTGGAACATAATCCAACTGGATGCACAAAAGTGTATCTATTGATTTATACTGTCAGATCACATGGTGAAAAAGAAATATTATTTGGATTGAGCAATCGAAGAAACGACCATGGTGAACCTAATTGACGTCGCTTACTATCATTTCCAATATAAACTAACCACGAAAGCATAATGAATATAGTGCACCAATAGCACGACGTGCATTTGAATGGATTACTGATCGAACAGATATTCTGCAACAAGGATTAAAATCACGTTTTCTTTATCAACATGGCAATTTTATCTATCCGTTATATGTAACTGATGAACAAGCAGATATATTGACACAAAATTTTACTGCGAATGAAGAATTACTGTCACTACAGTGGATTTCTTTGAGACTTGTTTTTGAACAACTTTCCGAGTGGAGAAATTATTTAACTAGTGAAGCAACAAAAAATGAATTAGCACAACATAAGTATATCAATCCCACTGGAGTTCAATTAGGTGAATATGACTTATGGCCAGTGACAGCAACATGTTTGATGTGTATTCGGGACATTTTTACGAGTATAATCTACTCTATATTGTTCTGTATTTTGAATAGAACATGAACAAAGCCTACTGAGCTCGGTTTTCAATTTCTAGAGCACTACTGAGATCCATTAATGAGAGCGGGTCACAGAAAATGGCGGGATATCCAAAGTAAGTAAGTTTGTCCCGCAAGCCGATTGATTGAATTTGCTATAAATATATATTCAGAAAAAACCATCACACAATCAGACTTGGCTTTTAATGCTGACTGCCAACCCATAACTGTTGTCTGGGAGGGTTCGGACAAAAATTGGTTGGTGGGTGTGTAGGGTGTGAGTGTGGAGTGCAAGTGTGAACCTTCTCTTCATCATGCCGAATGTTAATGTGTTGCTGTCCAAGATTTAGCCACATTCAATAGGATGAAACTAGTGATGATTGATAAGAGTTCTATAAGTAATCTTTCTGATGTAAACATGATCAAATGAGATATAAACGAAAAACTGTTTGTTAAACGATTGAATCAGTTAGTTAACACAGTGGATAAGTACAGTTACCTATATCCACACACAACCAAGTATTTCTCAAACTTGAATTTATTTTTTTTGTTATTATTTTTTTCGTTCCTGCCAGCAAAGAAAAAAATGCCTGTTCGAAAAGCTTCAAAGAAAAGTAAACAATGAGTGAGACAAAGTATGTCACGTATTGACATTGAAGCAATTCATATATACATGAAAAAACAACTGAGAATGAGAAAGAATTACAATAGAAAAAATGACGTTTTTAAGTATTTTTTTTCTCTTTTGATTGTTGCTAGCAACTGTATTTTGAATTGAAACTAGGTGGAGTTTGCCAATGAATGTTAACAAAAATGACGCACCACATGTTCGAAGTTGTAGAAATATATAGAAGAAAAAACAATCGAACATCAAATTTATAAATTGAAAAGGTGATTTATGCTCCAACATCATAATTTATATCCAAAATGAGCGAAAAAGAAAGACGGCGCATGATTGAAAATAAGTTGGTCATTTGGGTCGATGGAAGTATTGATCAAACAAATCAAGATTGTCAAAATACACTCATGCAATTGCGTAGTGTCGTCAATGCAGTGGAAACTTGCACCACACCAGAAGCGTGTATTCAATATCTCAGTGAAAGTAACGAAGAAACAGTATTCGTCATATCCTCAGGAGCATTTGGTCAAATAATGGTGCCAGATATTCATGGTATATCAAAATTAAATGCCATCTATATCTTTTGTCGTAACAAATGTCAGAACGAAGAATGGACTAAAAACTGGTCAAAAATAAAAGATATCCATACTTCAATCAAGCCTATATGTGAAGCACTAGCAATGGCAGTCAAAGAATCCGATCAAAATAATATATCGGTGAGTATTATTACAACAAATGAAGGAGGCTTTAGCGAAAATCTTGATCAACTGGAACCTACTTTCATGTATTCTCAAATCTTCAAGGAAATTCTCCTTGATATGAAACATGATCAACAAGCCATCAAAGATTTGTCTACTTTTTGCCGAGAATTATACATGAAGAATAATGCAGAAACAAAACATATCAATGAATTCGAACACAATTATCAACCATCAAAGGCCATTTGGTGGTATACACGTGAGTGTTTCACATACAAAATGCTCAATGGAGCACTACGAACACTCAATGGTGACATTATCGTTAGAATGGGTTTTTTTCTTTGCGATCTACATCGTCAAATTGAAGCTTTACACAAAGAACAAGCCAACCAGTATCATAAGTCATTTTCAGTTTATCGAGGCCAGGGATTATCCGATGTTGACTTCAATAAACTCGTGCACAGCAAAGGTGGACTTATGTCGTTCAACAATTTTTTATCTACCAGTACAAAGCGACAAGTCTCCTTCGATTTCGCTAACTGTGAATCAAGAAAAAAGGACATAGTCGGCATCCTTTTTGAAATGACCATAGATCCCAAGGTGTCATCCACTCCGTTCGCTTCCATTCGTGAAGTGAGCGAATTCGCAGAGGAAGAGGAAATCCTCTTTTCTATGAATACAATTTTTCGAATTGGTAACATTCGAAAACTTGACAATAACTGTCCACTTTATGAAGTCAAACTTAAGCTTACATCAGACGATGATCAAAAACTTCGTCAACTAACTGATCGTATACATAAAGAAGTTGCAGGTTCGACAGGTTGGGATCAATTGGGTCAAGTGCTGCTCAAAATAGGTCAATTCGACAAGGCCGAAGAATTGTATACAGCACTACTTGAACAAACGTTGGACGACAGTGAAAAAGCACATATCTATCATATGCTTGGAATATTGAAAACATACCTAGGACAATGTAGAGAAGCAGCTTCATTTTACGAAAAGTCTCTTGAAATCTATCGAAAAACTCTTGTGGAAGACGATCCTTCATTAGCTACTTCGTACAACAACATCGGTCTGGTGTATCACAACACGGATGATCACTCGAAAGCACTTCAATTTTACGAAAAAGCGCATAAAATCTACGAAGAATCTCTGCGTTCGGATGATCCCGAGTTTGCTAATTGCTACAACAACATCGGCGGAGTGTATAAAGATATGGGTAACTACTCGAAAGCACTAGAATTTTACGAAAAAGCATTGAAAATAGATGAAAAAACTCTACCTTCGAATCATCCAGATTTGGCTATTTCCTACAGCAACAGCGGTTCAGTGTATAACAAAATGGGTAACTATTCAAAAGCACTTCAATTTTACGAAAAAGCACTTAAAATAAGAGAAAAAGCTCTGCCTCCGAATCATCTTGATTTGGCTGAATCCTACAACAACATCGGTTTACTATATAAAAACATGGGTGATCATGCAAAAACACTCTCATTCTTGGAAAAAGCACTTGTTATCTTACAAAAGTCACTTCCATCTACGCATTCTCACATTCAAAATGTGAAAGCAGCTATTGATAATGTAAAAAAGATGTAAAAGTACTGTTTTTTCTTATGCCTTGCTCGATAAATCTCTTTTTTTTGTATTACTATTCACGAATTTCAAGTTTTACTTTGGCTCTTGTTCATGCGTATGCACGAACGCAGCTAGGTATAATCCGCATGTGACTGAAGCAGATACACACAATGTAAACGATGTCACACCATTAGAGCAATATATATAGGTATGACGTACAAGAATGACGACAGTGACCTACAGCATAAGCGGTCTTCACGAGTATTACACTGCTCTCTGCATAACAGTTCAGATAAAGTATCTCCACTGAGCCAGACTACAGAGCTGTCTAACAAACTATGATATAAATAGCATGCATATATATTATCTTTATGTATATCGCAGTGCTTTCCAGAATTCAAGCAAAAATGGTGTGGATGTGAGTGTGAGAGACCAGCAGCTGAACAGCTACATCCTAAATATGAAATTTGTTGATTCATCAAGTGTTAATCTAGAAAGATTTCACTTTCTGTTTTTTTTGAATACCAATATTAACTTGTACTCGAATATAGAAGAAGGTGTGGGTGTGAATAGATGTGCAGTTCATTCTCTATTCTTACATACCCACACCCAACGTGTAAAAAGTTTCAATCTTCACACTAAAATAGGTTTCGTCTAAGCGAACAACGCTAGGTACGAGTGTGACGCACCCTTAAAGGCACACTTCAGATTAAACTCAAGCTTTGCAAACCTTCATGTTGCGCCGTGTATGTAAACGATGGAACCGTTGGAAACCATAAGTCTTACTGATAACTAGGAAAGTAGTGCTAGTATTGCATAGTCTAAGGCTGGAAACATCAATCTATAATTCCATCAGTGATAAACTATGCGTGTTATCATAATTCAATGCACTACAAAAGGTTCAACCCTTGATGAATTCGTTCGTCTCATACATATTTAAAAGATACAAAAACTTAATATCGTTATTGCATACAGGATTCCCTGGCAATGCATTACTCGTATTCAACTTCGATGTTTTGTTATTATTATTTATCAGATTTAATAAGTAATTAAGATAATTCAGGTGAAAGGAATAAGAACATCCACAAATCACAATAATGCACCTTAAGTGAGTTGTTTTAACGCATATGTACATGAATGCATGCCAAGAGAATATGTCAAAGCTTTTACAATTTATAGATGACTATATAAACGTTAACTTGTTGATTTATTAGTGTTTGTAGTTATCTAGATCAGTTTTAACATACTATGGTCTAGATAGTGAATGCTTGGATCTATGATGCAAAAAAATGACTTTTGAATTGTTTGATGATTCTTCTTAGATCCATGACAGATCCTTGACATTTAAACGCGCATCTAAAATCCAGACGATTTTCTTTGTCCACTAAATATATGAGTTCATTTGGTCTCACATTGGTGTCTTTGTACTATCGGCACTAATGCAATGTTCAACAGTATTCCATTTCTCTCTAGTAAATGATTTGCTTCTGTAACTTATAAGAAACTATGACCAGTAACAGAACACACATTTGTAAAAATCTGAGCTAAATTCATTGAAATTTAACTCAATAATGTCTCTTCAAACGATAGGAAATGTTTTTTCTGTGTATCAACGGTTATAGGGTGTGGGTGGGTGTGGATAGAGAAAAGAAAAACCCACACCCACACCGTGAACTACTAGACGAAACATTCCACAATGTACTGACAAAAAAATACGTTGTAAACAAGGCTGCACATGTTTTTGGTATTTGTATTGTAAGGGGTGTGGGTTAAGAGAATATCCCGGCCCACTCCCACACCCACACCTACACCCGCACTTACACCCGCACTTACGCCCACCCCCACACCCCAAAACCATTAATAAATCTTATCTCAAAATCCTCATCAAGATATTTTAACTCAAATTGATTCATGAGCACAGAATATTTCATTGTAATTCATTGTTTGTCATTAGTTTCTGATAAAAGCAAAAAACTTTTAATACTTATTTTCCATTTCAAAATAAAATGGATTCGGTTGTTTGTTTAATAACTCTGCAAAGCTAATAGCCATTGAAGCGCGATTTTAACCGTTAGATAGAGACTGGCTGGGGATACCTCTATAACTGAGAGTCAATGAACTTTGAAATTTTTTTGGATGTATTGCAGGTGTTTTTAATAAAACTCTGACAGACTCTTTTTATTACATACATTCTTAATTTAAATTGAGCCAAATTGTAGCCTAGCATCTTCTCTATAAACGCTGAAAGTTTCAGACTTCCTTCATATGTCTCTGAGATACAAGAAAAAGTCTCCTGAAATCGAATAATGCTAAATTTTCAATTTTTTTTTGTCTCAAACCTCTCATCCATAGAGGTGATGGAATCTACTGATTGTTGTAACGTTATTACTTAGACGATAGAAGATCTTTTATTTCTTCATATCACATCGTGTATGTCTATTTCTGCCCATCTCCATTAATTGATTCAAGAGAAAAATTGAGTTTTTACTCTTTCATGTTTATTTTTTTTCTATCTATTTGATTACAATGACATATGTACGCATGAGAGAAGTTATCACAAATGTAGATGGTACAGAGGAGGGACGCATACAAACTATCACTCAGATATATACGACTCATTGTCATCTGTTGCTGCTGAATATTCTTCTTCATCAGTTTCAATCAATTGTGGCTCAAAATTGTTTTCAACACTGGCATCGGCTGCTTTGAAAATATTTGCAATTGTGTATGTATGCTCGATGAAGCTTTGTGCTAAGTCTTCATCAACGGCAGCGATAAAGTCGAGCGCACTATCTTCAACATCGGAAAGACGAAAATTAACATTTGTGTTGGGCACGTGTGACTTGAGTTGGGCCCATGCAAGCTCTATGGAATTGAGTGTAGAATGCTTTACCGGAAGTCGCAAGATTTCGACATCGAAGTCTTGGGCAATTGTATTAGTCACATATCGTTTTGTTGGTACATTTGACAATGCAAATTCGAGAAACTCGGCCTTGGACACTGTGGCATCCCATGCAATACTTTTTCTAGTGAGCCACTGGTGGAGTTTATATTTAGTCCAAGCACGTCGTGGTGGTTTGGCATCAGCACACAATACATCGTGCCACGGTGGGTTGTCTATTATTATGGCAATAGGTTGACCAGGACCATGTTTAATCCGAAGACAAGAAGCAGCATCTTCTAACCACTTGTGAAATCGTTCACTGTTCATAGAATGATCCTTGTCGCACTGCCAAACATCAATCGGTTCAATGAAACCTTCCAATTCCATCATTGCCGAAATGGCAATGCGCTTTCCCTCTCAATCCTGTTTGCGCAGTCGACCTTTTCCTTGGTCATCAACCCAAATATTACGTTTCTCCTCCCCCAAATCGAGCCACGTCTCGTCATGATAATATATAAGAGCATCTGCAGCACGGAGTTCGTTGAGGTGACGAAAGTAAGATGCACGTTGAGCAACAAAATGTACTCCATCGAGAAGCACGGGACTTTTTGCAGTTGCTTTATACGAAAATCCGAATTGACGCATCTGGCGCCATAATGTGGTAACCGAGCGCACCGGGAAATCATGGTGTTCCGCAAGCAATCGAGCAAGTAATGTTTTAGTCATCGGATAGATTTTTTCGGTAAAAATCACATGAAAATGATATCTAATGTCATTTTGCCCTTGCCCGTTAAGAATCAAGCGCGGACTACCTGAATTTCCTTGTTTCATTGGAGACTCAAATGTAGGAATAGACGGTTCCCAATATCGTTTGCTATGTGATACTGAGGCAGAAGCAACTGTAGATGTTTGATCTAATCGAGAATAAATCGGATTCTCCGTCGTTGCCGAGGGAGGACGAAGTCGCATCCTGACATTTTGTTGCACCTTGGTTATTTTTTCCTTCTTTTTTGCTTCTTCTTCTTCTTCTTCTTCTTTCTCTCTCTTCTCAGCTTCTTGCTCATCTTTCAAGCGCTTCATCTCTTGTTTGAGATTAAAAACAGACCCTTTCGATATTCAAAGCATTGCTTGAATTCGTTCTGTGATGTTGTTGAGGGATATTTGAGGGTCAGTTTTTTCCGCTTCCACAAATGCGATCACTCGAAAAAAGACGTTCTTTAAGTCGGTGGAGTATTCCTGACTAGTAGGCATCAGACACGTTAACTGTTAACCAAGAAGATGATAGCACTGCTCAACCCAAACTGTACGAGATCACCTTGTGATGCAGAGTTTGTATTAGATGTATATTGAACGATGTTGTGTGGAAACAACGAAGATATTTACGCCCACTAGTGAACTCTAATATAAAATGTTTTTCTAATAAAACCAGATACAGGAGGACGAAAATGATTGTGTAAGATATATGTATTCACACTTTCTTTATTTCAAATCGTATCACAGTACTATCTGCTAATCGAGAAGAAACAATAACTCAGTCACTGAACTGTAAAAGTAAGTCAATTGAACTTCCAGAAAAACTGAAGTGTTGAGAACAGAAGCACATATATATATATATATATATATATATATATATATATATATACATATGGGAGCAATTCAGAGAGAACCTTCTCGAATGTTCTAAAAAGGAACACATGAAAACGAAAAATGGAAGAACAATATTGACGTCATTCTATACCATAAGAATGACAGGAAGGAAAAGAAAAGATATACCAAACACAGTAAGTGAAATGCCCTTAATAACCTCGTACGTCATACAAATCAAATATCGGTTTGTGATAAAGTGGACGAATGCTCACTAAGAGCAAATTGTATTGTGATTTTTGCGTGTATCATTACAAAGCAAGATGCAAAAATTATTATTGGACACCTAAAATTAATCAATAAAGATGGACAGAAATAGACATACACGATGTGATATGAAGAAATCAAAGATCTTCTATCGTCTAAGTAATAACGTTACAACAATCAGTAGATTCTATCACCTCTATGGATGGGAGGTTTGAGACAAAAAAAAATTGAAAATTTAGCATTATTCGATTTCAGGAGACTTTTTCTTGTATCTCAGAGACACATGAAGGAAGTCTGAAACTTTCAGCGTTTATAGAGCAGATACTAGGCTACAATTTTGCTAAATTGAAATTAAGAATGTATGTAATAAAAAGAGCCTGTCAGCGTTTTATTAAAAATACCTGCAATACTTCCAAAAAAATTTCAAAGTTCATTGACTCTCAGTTATAGAGGTATTCCCAGCCAGTCTCTATCTAACGGTGAAAATCGCGCTTCAATAGCTATTAGCTTTGCATAGTTATTAAACAAACAACCGAGTCCACTTTATTTTGAAATGGATAATAGTTAATAAACTTATCTATATGCTGATATTCATTTTTTCGTGCTTAACTTTCCTCGTGCTCAACTTTCCTTGTACTCATCTTTCCAGTGCTGATCTTTCCCGTGCTCAACTTTCACCCATCCTTTGATTTCAATTATCTTTCTATAATATCCTGCCTGCAGAAAAAGATAATAAAGCTTGAATCTTATCTCATTTTAATTAAAAAATTGATGTAAACTGCAATTATCCTTTCCACCTCATTTGTTCATACTCTCATTTTAAATTCAGACATCACATAAAATAGCACTATGTCAACACAAACACTTGCTAGTCAATTATCGGAGTTATCAATCAAACTTGTAATTTATTGTTGGACACCTATTTATATTATTGGAATATTGGGAAATCTATTGAATATAATTACCTTTTCACGTCGTACTTTACGTGGTAATACATGTTCACAATATTTTATTGGTATGTCTATTGTTCAAATTATTCTTTTCAATAGTCTATCTTTAACTAAAATAATAACAAATATAAGCGGCTATGATCTTGGTCAAACTGTAGCAATACTTTGTAAAATTCGAAGCTATCTTTTCATATTTAGTCTCGGTCTTATGCGTCAATTTTTATGTTTAATTTCAATTGATCGATGGATTATGTCAACAGATAATGCACGTATAAGAAAATTTAGTTCAGTATTTGCTGTTCGTTGGCTCATGATCGGTAGCAGTGTATTTTGGATTTTATATAGCATCCATATACTGATCGGCTTTCAAACAATACCCACACGTGGTTGTACACATTTACCCAATCCTTCTTATGCATTATTTTATGTTATACAATTTACTATATCGTCAATAATACCGTTTATTATCATGACTATGTTTAGTATATTCACATTGCGTAATGTGCGTAACCATAGGCGTATTCGAATAGCTTCACAAAATACTGTACCATCATCAACAATGCAATCTAATTTACCTCAGAATATTCGTCGACGT